CCCCCCCCCCCGGCCCCTCTCCCCCCAAACTTCCCGCCAAGATGGCGTCCCCGGAGCTGGCCTGCCGCGCGCCCACGTGATCGCCCTCCCCGCGCTCTCAGCCAATAGGAAGTGAGGAGGCGGCTCGCGCCGAGCCCGGGCCTCTCAGCTTTGCTACCTTAGGGTTGCGGAGGGTAGGAAGCGCAAGAAGGCCTGGGGACGGAGCTGGGGGACCCCGAGAATGTCCCGAACGCAGCACCTCGTCTAAAGCGGCGGGCACCGAAGCGGTTCTGAGGGTGAGATAGCAGCTAAGCAGACTCTACAGGTGGTCTGAGTAGGTCCGGGACAGTCCGCCTTTGCCACGCGCGAGCTTACTGCCCACCGGGGTGCCCTGCGGGTCTGAGCTAGCTGCGATCTGGGAAGATCACCCCCACTAGATCCGGGACTCCGGGTCCGAGACTCCCGTAACCCCACCGACCACCTGCCGTTTCCAACTCCACCGCAGAATGAGCGCCTGGGGCGCCAGTGGAGGCGCCCCAGTGGGAGAAGTGGACTTGGGGCGCTGGCGGAGCCAACCACGTCAGGGGCGGGGAGTTCTGAGAAGGGGATCTCCACGTTGCCTTCCACTTTACTGCTTCTTTTAAAGTTACTGTTCGCCTTTTAGTAAAAGGTTTAAGAGGTTGCGTGAAAGAAGGGCAGTAAACGGGGAAACTGGTTAACATGATTTTTTTTTTAATTGAAGGTTTCAGTAGAGGATTTTAAAGTCTAATTTACTGATTACAGGTATGAATACGTTTAAGGGTGGGGAGAGAAGGTTCATTCCTTCATTCGCTCGTGCATTCATTCCACCACGCCTGTGTCCCTTACCAGCCATCCTCTCAGGTATTACCCAAATTATGGCGGCCCCTTTAAGAACTCACCTTCTCCGGAGCAGAGCTCCTCTGATTAGGTTTCCAGCACCTCTGAGAGGAACTACTGGTGGGTGAGGACTCTGCTCAGAGGCTAAGCCACTCAGGTTGTAGAAGGCTATCTCAGAAAGCTCTCCAGGGCATTTGAGCTACTTCTAAGTAATAAAGACTTCCTTTTCCTACTGAGGTCCAGGTGAGAATTTATCCAAGGTCATCTGGAGTTGGTGACCTCTTTCAAAACCAGAAGGTTGTTTCAGATCAAGCTGACAGCGTTTCACTGAGGCTGCATCCATGGCCCAGTAAAAAAAAAAAAGTCCAAGAAGCCTTTCACTGTGAGCTGACAGTACCTCAGAGGTATGTTGACTACCGGGTTTCACTTCTGGATTGCACCGTGGAAACCTAAACTGTGAGAACCCGGATGACTTTAGAGGTAGGGGAGATCCACACGTTCAGGAAGGGAAAGAATATTGACTAATCAGTGTCAGAGTTTCCCAAAACTCTGGTCTCTTGGGTCTTTTAGCTCCAGCCCAGGGCTCTTTCCACTATGGTTTTGGACAACTTTATAATGTTTGCCTGTGTGTTAGCATCAAATCTCTGTGCTTTGTTGGATCGCACATGCTGGAATCTTGAGCAGCAGTTAAAGCGACTTTGCACAGAGGAAATGGGATGGGAAAGTCAAAGGGGGAGGAGCTCCTAAAAGGAAGGAACTTAATAGAGGGATATGGGTTAACGGTGAAAATGACATGCAGGTTATTATCAAGGCTTCATTGATGAAGAGAATTTATTCAGAATTCAGAAAGGAGGGATATCTGTCCTCCTACTGATACCACTCATTGTGTGTGTTTAGACGAGGGGGTGGGTAGAATAAGATCTGAGCTCTGCCCTCAAGGTCCCAAAGTACCATCACAAACAGACAAAAGCCAAAGAACCTTTCCCAGGGTCCACTGGGAACTAAAATGAAAATTTATGTATGTTCTCAATGTCATCCTTATCTTTTCCTAGAAACAAAAAGGAGTTTTTTGGTTTTTGTTTGTTTTTGTTTTTGTTTTTTGGTCATTCTCTGTAACAATACTCTTTGATTGTCAGGAGTGTCCAAAAAAGCAGGAATGAACATAACACTGATTCTACTGTTGGGGGCTAAGACAGGACCAGGCCTAGTATGAAGAGCCTGTACTATTTTTCATCCTTTCTAACCATCTGTGTTATTTATTGCTGCTCAGCAACTTTCTCAAAGCTTAGGAGTTTAAAACGTAGTAGCTTAGTAATTTAAACAATAAACCTCACTTCACAGTTTCTGTTAGCCAGGAATACAGGAGCAGCTTGGTTGGCTGGTTCTGTCTCAGGGTCTTATAAAGTTGAAGTCAAGTTGTCTACCAGGGCTGCAGACATCTGAAAATTTAACTGAGGCTTCCAGCATGGGAGAATTTTTCAGGATGGCTCATTGACATGGCTAGTAAGTCAACACTGACTGTTGGGAGGAGGCCTCAGCTTCTCACCACGAAGACCTATGGAAAGGATTGATTGAATGCCTTCATGAACAACAGTATCTTTCATGGCCTGCTTATTGAAGTAGCACTGTAACTCAGTCCCTTTGGGCTACTATAAGTAGCTAATTTATAAACAAGAATCATTGCTGGAGATAAGAAAGACCAAGACCAACGCACCAACAGATGTTGAGTGAGAGCCCTGTTCTTCATAAATGGCACCTTGAATCTTCACATGCCACAGGGGGCTCTCCCCCAAACCTCTTTTATAAATGCAATGAACCCTTTCATGGCTTAACCTTCCAAAGGCCCGGATCTTAGTATCATCACCTTCAAGGTTGAAATTTCAACATACTAAATCTAAGAAGTGGGAGGACGCAATTATTCAGACCATAGCACATTCCATTATTTCTATAATATCCTATCGATTATTTCTACCAGCTTCAAGGATATGATTGAATACCAGAAGGTAAGAATCATCTTAGAAACGATACCACACCATCACAACAGAAAACAGTGAAATCTGTATTTTTCCGAACAACTTTTATTTTCTCAAAGTCTTCCTTACTTTCTGCAGCTAAGTAAATAGGGCTCAATATAGGATCTGATTACTTTTCCAATTTCATCATTTTAAATACATGCACGCATAAGTATTTGAATAAGTAATTACAGCAAGAAGATATTAGTGGTTAAAGCTGTTCATACTACATTCCAGCTCCAAGTTGACTTTTCCTTTGAAAAGCTTAAAAGGAGTCACAGGACCACAAAGAAAGCCTCAAATCTCACATTGTTTTATTGAGATGTCAGAGATCCAGCCTCAAAAAATATTGCCTCTCAATGCCAAACTTTTCCTTCCCAGCCATCCTTCTGGCCAAGCTGCCTTTGGAGCTCCACATCTCTGGCTTTGTCCTCTCTCTCTTCACAGCCTCCAGCCTATTTTCTGTAGAGATGCACGGTCCTGCCAGCCTATTGCATCTTTGGCTTTCAGCCTAGCAGAGTAGGAGCATACTGCCTGTGCCAAAGGCAATCACAAAAAGAATCTGATGCTGTCAAAAAGGTTTATGCACACTTTGACTGCAAGAAGAATAGTGTCATGAATGACGGAGGTGGCCATAGTGTCATATTGCCAGGAGTACCCAGGTAACATTTCCTGACAGCACACTTGGAAAGATACCCTTGACAAACCCGGATCTGGAAAGGAGAACAACCAGAGCAATTGGGGATAGGAAACCCTCACCTGGAGGAACGATTGTAAAACCTCGGCGATTTCATTGGGAAAAGAGAGGGCACCTGGGAGCGTGAATAAAATTTTCAAACAGGTTTATTCTACAGATTTAGTTCTCCTCCCCTAACATGATTTGTCAGAACTTTCCGGTATGCCAAAGATGTGCCTCAATGTGGTAGGAGTTTCTCAGGAGGAAGCTGAATAAACCTAGCAGGGATTCCTTATCAGAGAATAGTAGATACCCTGGATAGAAAGTTAAATGACCTCTGGTACCAGCCAGAGTTCAAAGGCTTTGAAACTTTAAGTCTCTGCTGAACACTAAAATGATAGTATTGTTTTAGTCACTTTTTTCATTGCTGAGACACAATAGCTGATACCCACAATTTAAAGGACAAAATGTTTATTTTGGCTTGTGTTTTGTTTTTGAGATAGGGTCTCACTATATAGTTCAGGCTGGCCTTGAACTCACTGTATAGCCTAGGCTGGCCTCAAGCTCATTGCAGTCCGTTACTCAGCCTGCCGAATGCTGGGAATACAGGCGTGCACCACCATGCAGAGCTTTGGCTCACATTTTAGAAATTGCAATCTTTGCGTGGTCGGTCAGCTCTAGGTGGAAGCAGCAGGGTGGAAGGGTCTGGCAGAGAAGAGCTGCTCATGGCATAGTACACAGAAAGCAGAAGGTGAAGGGAGGAGCGGAGGAAGAAGATAAACCCTTTCAGACTACACCCTCAGTGAGCTGCCTCTTCCTCACCTCCTAATAGGGAGTCAGATATGAGCTCCTGTAATCCAGTTGTGTTAGTAAGTTTTTCTCTCTTTGCTGAGACAAAATACCCAACACCTGAAGTTAGAGGGGAAGGGATTTATTTGGCTTACAGTTCATAGATGTTTTCAATCCGTAATCAACTGACTCTTCAGGCAGGGATGACAAGCAGGCATGGCAGAAGAGAAACAACATGGCACACCCAAGGCAGCAAAGGTATCAAGAGAGTTTAACAGCATCTTTCTGCTCTTTTTATCTTATTCGGACTACCAGGATTAGGGTGGTGGCAAACTAATCACTCACATATAGTGGTTTAGTAATCCTATGCCCTTAACTCTAGCATCATACATTACAGATTCAACTTCCCCTAAAAAAGAAAGTTATACTTCATCCACATGAGGCTTTGGGGGCAAATGTAAACACAAACTGTAGCACCAGTCACCTTCCCAAAAGCCCCACCTATGAGCTCATGAGGCTCTTGGGGGACATCTAGATATAAACCATAACATTCCACCTCTAGTCCACAGAAGACTCATGCAAAGACTTTACTCAGTGTGTTTAGTCAATCTCTCAAGAGTTGGCAAAGTCCTAAGGCAAACTTTTAACTGTGAGCCCTTGTAAAAATTAAAAAAAAAAAAAATCTAAACACTTCAGGCATAGAATAGCACAAGGTAAACATTCTTATTCCAAATGAGAGAAATTGGGGGATAGAAACCAACGGGACTAAAAGCAAGGCCAACAACCAGTAGGGTAAACATTAAATCCTGTAGCTCTATTTCCGGCTTGGGGAGGGTTGTGTGACAATTTTCAAACTTCATAGGGCTTGGGTGGCCCTGTTACTATGAGATTGCAAGTGATTGCAGCCCTATGAGTTCGCTCTTGAGTTGGATTTGCTCACCCTTTGTGGCATTCTTGATATGTTCCATATTTCTTGATTCTTCAACTTCCAGGGGTTTCACTCTCACAACTTTACCCATTGCCCTCCTAGGCACAGTGTTTGGACTCTCAGGCCTTCTTCTGAAATTTGAGTGGAAGCCTCCCTGAGCGCATAACTCTTGTATTCTACATGCTGTGCAACAGGAGTCATATAAACGATACCAAGATCAGCTGCCAGCTTGAGCAGTAGCCAGGTCCTCTTGGGCCACGGCTCCAGAGGTCTCTAGAGAACTAGATGGCTGAGCACTATGAGCCAAATCACAGGGAACATATTCCCTAGGATGCTGTTTTGGAGCTTGGTGCTCTGGGACTTTCTTCTCCAAGCAAAATCTTTCACTTTTACAATTTGGAGCTTGTAAACCGTGAGGCCTTTCTGATTCCCAACATGCCCTTAAGCCATTTTTCCTATTGTTCTATTTCAAACTACTTGGCTTCTTTTTAATACTAATCTTTTTATCAACCAAACTCTCCTCTGTTCCATCTTTGCAGGTTTTTTATAGCAAAACTAAAAACTTTTAAAATGGGCATTTTGCTCTTGATTTTCAATATAAACCTGGCTAAACGCCCCCTGCAGAATCCCATGCCACAGGCTGAATGTTGGACTGCCTTGAAATTTCTTCTGCTAGATTAGTAAATTCACAGTCCTTAATCTCAGTCTCCTGCAAAGTCTCAGGACATGAACAAAAATGAAGAGAAATGTTCTGCAGATCATAATGTACATGGCTGGAGTCCAACTGCCGATAGAGTTCTTATTCCCAATTGAAGCCTTCTGAGCTTGGCTTTTATCTTCTGCATCAAAAAATTTTTCTAACAAAGTAATTAGAGAATAACAATATTTAATGTACTGAATACTGTGAAAAGAATGGCCAGAATGTTACTCATAATACAAGTTCTAGACAAAAAAAGACAATCTCATAAAAGAAGAAACAAACAAAAGGACAAAACTTACTTTTCAGTGAACAAAAGGAAACTAGTAGTATAAATGAAACAGAATAGCATGTATCTGAAAATATTTTTGAAACAATAGAATAGATAACTTGGGGGATTATTTTAAAAATCTCCCTACTTTTTTGTTTTGTTTTGGTTTTTAGTTTTGGGGTTTTTTTTTTAATTGAGACAGGGTCTCGCTTTATAGTTTGAGCTGGCCCTGAACTCACTGTGTAACACGGGCTGGCCTTAAACTCAGTGATCTTCCTGCGTCAGCCTCCTGAGTGCTGGGATTACAGGCATGTGCCACCATTGCCAACTCTTACTGATTTCTACTTTACTCTCCTCTCTCTTCTTTCTCTCTCTATACACACACACACACACACACACACACACACACACACACACACTGCATTTATATACACACACACACACACACACACACACACACACACACACACCCTGCATTTTATCAGTATTTTGATCTTCTAGGCTTCTACTAGAATCTCCCATTAAGCGTGGTTTACAGCACTCCAGGGCTGTTTTCCCACCCAGCATCTCCAAACCTTTCCAAAGTCCTCTTTCAAACAGGTTCCAATGGCATCTTAACCACATAGTCAAGTGCAGTCTCAGTGACAACCACTTTCTTCCTATACCAAAATCTTAGTCAGTTTTCTCATTAGTGAGACACAATAGCCAACACTCACAACTTGAAAGAGGAGAAGTTTATTTTAGCTCACAGTTTGTAGAGGTTTCAGTCCATAGTCTGCTGATTCCACAGCAGGTCAGTATGGCAGTGGGCCATGCTCACAGCATGGCAGCAGGGAAACAGGGACCAAGAAGGAGCAAGAAATGGAAATAAACACTTCCCGTCATGCCTCAGTGACCCACCTTTTCTGACCAGGCCCCACTTCCTAACAAGATTACATTATCCAATGGACACCTGAGGTCCATTTTATTTATATCAAGAATTGATTCCACCCAGATAAGGGAGGCCTAAGACTGACATTTTACTCATGGTTAATATTTACCAGAGTAAAAAGTATGCATTCTCTTTAAAATGTAAACAGTTCCCATATCCATGATAGGCAATCAGGCATTGAACTCTCACTTTCAAACAGAGAACCCATCAACATTTTGTGTAGGGGAAGTGGGAATGGTAGGGGAAAGGTGATAAGGGAAAAGAAAAAAAAAAGAGAAAATGAAAAAATGGAAATAAAGTATTTGTAAACAGGGAAGGGAGGAGGGGGTGAAGGGAGGGCAGGGACAAGGGGAAAAAATGAGAACCGAGACCTGTCATGTAAAGGTACAAGATCCCAATAATGAATGTAACTGTACTGTATACCTAAAATGTACCAATAAACTCAATGAGAGAGAGAAAAAAAATTCTATAAATTCTAAGTAGATACAGAACCTGATAATAATAATTTCCTCCTATTTGAACTTGTGACCTTATATTGACAACGTTCAAAGATAGACTTAACTCATTTTAGATTTAACTCATAGAAACCTGTGAAGCAAACTTATTGGTTATGTTCTTCCCCATTGCAGAGGTTGCTAAGTAAGAAGGAAAGAAATAACTCAGTTTAGAACATCACAGCTAGCTGGTAATAGAGCTAGGATTGAACATTAGTTCATTGTTTTTTCCATTAGTCAACATGGCCTTTTTTTCTACTTGGTTCCTTTCTAAATGAAAGACTAAAAGTGCAAATGTGTGTTGGAGGAGGTCCTATGCATGCAAACAATAGAGACAGAAATATAGAAAGACCCAGAGAGACTAAGGAGAAAAAAGAGGCTGAGAGATTTATATAAAATAAAGCAGAAGTAATGGACTATTCTGTTTATATTGCCTCTCACCTTAAAGAAAAATACACACATCCTGCTTAAATGTTATGACTAAATGATCTGGACTTTTAAAAAATTTCATTGCAAAAATGCTTATTTAAAACACCTCTCTCTTTACCCTGAACAAGTATCCTTGAGTATAAATGACCAGTTTTATAGATGCATGAAATGTCAAAACTAGAAGGCCCTTAGACACCATCTGGTACCATCCCTTGTTTGACAGACGTGAAATAAACTCCAGAAGAGATCCCAGGCAGCATCAGCACACAATTATCAGAGAATTTCCCCTGATAGCAGGAAGCTACTGGCAAGACAGGAATAATCAATCTTCCTCTTGGGGGGGGGGTGGTAGGAATTAGTAGGCTTTTCTAAAGATACATTTCTAGTTTAACCACATTTACCTCTCTGCTTTTGAAGAACCTGGGAGTCCTGAAAGAACCACAGTACCTTATTTGAAGTCCTTGGGCTTATACTAAAATCTCCTTACAGGGGAACCTCCTCACCCCAACCTCACCAGCATTCTGGTCAAGTAGATTGTGGGTAGGACCTCTCAGCCAGGTTATCTTTTTCTAGCCAGAGAACACAAACCTGGAAACATAACTGGGATTTGAAGCAATGCTTTTAGAATTTCAGGGAGTCATTTGTATTCCATTTCTGAGGTGGAGCTTGACTAATAGAATTCTGATTTTTCCCAATTGGACATGGATTGAGTGGGGTGACCTTTGGAATAGCAAACTGTCATCACCTTCCAAAATAAAGACTTCTGTGCCAACTTTTTACTTGGAGGAAATGACACTTACTAGAGCTATAATTTTCCAATTCCTCATGCTGTATAACCCTAACTTCCTGTATTATTCCCTTTTATTTTATGTTCAAGGAAGAATAGTAAACATAAAGAATCTTTTAAATCTTTCTTTTTAAATTTCCTTTAGATTAATTTCTTTCAAGATAATTTTATCAGCTGAGATTTAAGTATTTGTGATCAAGATACACACTACCTTTTATAAATAAGTTAGGCTTCAGTTGAAGAAACTTTTCCAAATACGTTTTCAAAACACCCTGAAAATTTTCCTAAGTTGGATATTATTTGAATTTGCAAATTACCACATGAATAAATAAAGCCAAGCCCAAAGGAAGCTGGGGAAAAATAATATAATAACAATTAGAAAGAGGAGGAGTTATGCCGATTATTCATGAAGGTGAATAAAGTAATTAAAAAATATGGAGGGAACAAATATTTAACAAGAAATGCCGACATAATAGTTTAGAGAAGGTTGAATCCAAGAAAACTACTGTATATCTCTATTCTTTTTCTCTCTCTCTCTCTCTCTAGAAAAATCAATCTCAAAATACTAGTATAAGAAGAAGCTTGTTCCTCCATCCTCCATGAAAATAAATGTGTTTAATAAACACCAACAAGATAGAGAATAGATAGAGAACTGGTCAAGTCCAAGATCCTTGGGATGGAGAAATTGGAAAATGCAGGTACCAAAAAAAAGTAAGAGAAAATTACTTGCATGTGTGTGTCATCAATTTATGATGGGTTATGTCCTGATGAGGCCATTGTAAGTTGGCAATATGAGTTACAAGGATTCAATACTTCTAAGCTACCAAACATTATGACTTAGCCTCACCCACCTTAAATATGATAAGAACACTTAATTAGCCTAAGTTGGGTAGAATTATCTAAAGCCTATTTTATAACAAAGTCGAATATCTCTTGTCATTTATTGAATATCTGTATCCAAAAACTGCTGGCAACATAATATATTTCCAGTTGCTTAGCTGAATGAGAGGAGTGTGGCTTACTGGGAGCCCCAGCATCATAAGAGAGTTACCACTTATGCTATCATAAGGCTATCACAAGTGTAGAAAATGGTTAACGTTCAAACTCCCAAGTGTGGTGCTACTTTTGCGCTGCCATAAAGCCAAAAAATTGTAAGTCAAAATATCATAAGTCAGAGACTGTCGTGTGTGTGGGGGTGTGCGATATACATGTTAACATGTTAATTGTGCATGAAGAATACAAAGTGCTATGTTCTATTAATTCAGTATACTCTGTGGATCTTTCTTTTTGCTGATACTTCTTAATATTTAAATCTAAAAATAAAAAAATTAAATACATTGTCTTGAGGAGCTAAAGAACTTGAGGCTCTAGATTCCACTGAAGATGAGTGCTATAGTTTACATGTGGATTGTTTCCCAAAGGCTTGGCTGCAGCCTGTGGTGCTACTGGGAGGTGGTAGAACCTTTGGAGCTGGAGTCGTCAGGAGGAGAGAGGAAGGGGACACTGAGATGCCAGACCCTTCCAATCTCTTTTTGCTTCCTGGATGCCATGTGCTCCCACCAAAGATGTACAGTGCCACCGCAAAACCAAAGTATTGGGGCCAAGTAGTTATGGACTGAACCCTTTTAAACCATAAGCCAAAATAAGCCTTTCTTCCTCATAAGTTGACTTATCTCAGGTATTTCTCACAATGGTAGAAAATGAATTAACACAATTAAGTATAGCTAGATATGGTAAGGTGGGAGTTGAAAATAAGGAAATGTCTAAATACCTATGTTAGGAAATGTTAGATATGAAATGTTAGTATGTGAAGCGACCACCTTCCCCCACTCTTCCAAAAGACAAGCATTTTACTAGAAAACAAGGGAGACTTTAGATTTTTGAACTGTCAGACACAGAGGAAGTGGTTGATGAGTTACAGTACTAAAAAGGGGAGACGAAGGGAAAATCTGCATATTGAATAGCGATAACTCCCTCACACCAATCCTTTGTCCTCCTTGCTATACATTTCAGAGAGAAAAGTTTAAGAATCTCAAAATAAAGGTCAATAGATGCATATAGTTGGGAGTTTCACAACAAAAGTTAGGCTGAGCCATAAAGAAAATGCAAATCCAAACCAGAATGAGCTATGACTTGACTCCCAAGAAGGCGATATGCAAAAGACATATCTGTTAGTAGTTATCTGTTATTACCATAACAAATGCATTATTATCATAACCAGGATGTGGAAAACTCAGAATCCTCATACACTGCTGGTGAGGACGGAACATGGTACATTCACTTTGGAAAATAGTCTGGCACTCTCTCAAAGAGTTAAACTTACAGTTACTACATGATGCAACAATTCCACTTCAGTACACTGAAGAGAACTGTAAACAGAAGCCTGCATGAACACTTATACAAAAATGTTCATAGCAGCGTTATGCATAAAAACCAGAGATTTGGAACTACACAAATGTCCATGAATTGAAAAATGGCAAGTTAAAATATGGTATGTTCAGCTGGTGGTGGTGCACATGCCTATAATCCAGCACTCGGGAGGCTCAGGCATTGGGATAGTTGCAAGTTTGAGGCCAGCGTGGGCTACATAGTGAGTTTATGGACAACCTGAGCTACATAGCAAGACTCTGTCCCCCCAAAAAAACTAAAAAAATTAAAAATGAATAAAATATGGTAATAGTCCATACAAGGACTACTACCCAGCAAGGAAAAGAAATGAATTACTAACAAATGCTACAAGTTGGATAAACCTCAATAATGTTATGCTAGGTGAAAGAAGCCAACTACAAGAGACCACATATCACATGACCCTATTTAGATAAAATATCCAGATTAGGCAAGTCTCTAGTATCAGAAAGTAGATTAGACATTGCTTGCATATAGGGGCCTTGTAGTGGAGGATTGTGAGGGATAAATGCTAAGGGATGAGAGTTTATTTTTTTAATGAAAATCAATACACCTAATATAAAAATCACTGAGTTGTACACTTAAAATGAATGAATTATAAGGAATGTGAATTAAAGCTCAATAAAACTATATTTTAAAAGATGTCAAGCTGATCACCTTATAGCCCTTTAAGAGTGATGAACAGTCAAAAAGCTCTTCCTAAACTCACAGAGAAAAAACAAACAAATAACCACTGTCGCTTCTTGGCCTTTTGGCTAAGATCAAGTATAAAAAAACCCTGAAACTCAGATAAAATGTGTCTAGGACAATGAAGAGAATATACAAAAAATTCAGAAAATTATAATTTATATTCTCAGCGAAGATATTGTGTCCATGAATTAGTAAGAGGAGACTATAAACAAAAAAGAAAGAGAAAGTTCTTTTTTTTTAAAAAAGGAAAAACAGAATATAAAACCCAGTGGAAGGGTTGGAAGATAATTCTAGGAAATTTCCCAGGAAAAACAGAAAGAAAAGAAAAAAGATGAGAGAGAGAGAGAGAGAGAGAGAGAGAGAGAGAGAGAGAGAGGGAAATACTATAGGAAAATGATAGGTGTGGTCAACAAGGGTCACCTAACCATAGATATTCTAGAAAAGACAAGGAAAGAAAATTAACATGTAAACAATACAAGAAATGTGGCAGAAGTTAAAGGAGTCTTTATTAAAAAAAAAAAAGCCTAGTGAGCACTAGCAATAATACATGTAAAAATATCCACAACAGTGATATTTTAGAATACTAACCATGTAATTTCTAAAGGCTTCCCAGAGAGAAAAACTTAAATCCATTACAAAGAATCAGAAAGAGATCAGAATTCTCAAAAGCACTGGAAGTTAGAAGACAGTGAAGCAATTCCTTTAAAATTCTAAGGAGAAATTATTTCCCTTAGGGTTTTATGTCCAACCAGATTATCAATCTGGTTGAAACTAAAAAGGAAAAAAAAAATGTTTAGTGTGCTTAGAAGATTATCCCATGCATGCCTTTTTAGGGAACCTCTAGATAAATAAACACTAGCAAAAGATGGCAAAAACCAAGACAGAGAACATAGACTTGAGAAATAGATACTCCCACATGAAATAGGTGAAGGGAATTCCCAGAGTGCTGGGTTGAGTCAATTTCAGGATTCTAGCTGGATAGCAGGACTTTGAGAGAAAGTAGTTTCTATCAGATGGTGCAAGTACTCCAAGTAGCCAAGAGACAATTGTGAATGCAACAAAGTACTTCATAGGTTTGATCATACAGAGCTTCTCAGAGCTGTGAGTGTGCAACTAATAACTTCTGAAAAATAAAATGTATAAGAAAGAAAATGTAACCACTGTACAGCATTTGCCTCAAAAGTACTATACTTTGTAACAGTGAAAGCAAGGTGATAATGAATACTGATTTAACAACAAGAAATTCAATTGCAGTCAGAGTATGGGACCAGTACATTAAAAGTTTCACCTCTCATAATAGAAATTCAACTCATTACACCAATTGCTTTGCTGGACAAAGCACCAGTCTTCTACATTATTTAGTGATGTAGGAGTAAATTCCAGAAGAAAGAGCTAAAAAGATGAAAAGTTGCCCTCCAGAGTGACGAGAGTGCAGAATCTCCTTTTCCAGTGCTCTGCAAAGTTCCTTCTGGGCAGGATGGAATGTGATTCAGCCTAGAGACAATTTCAAAAATTTCAGAATCTTTCCAAATTTAGTAGGTATGTGAGTACCTACAATTCCTAGAAACAAAGGTAAGACCCTTTGAGAATAAAAATGTCAAATTTTCCTCTTCCAAATTTATCCAAACTCCAAGTAAGGTCACTGTTCATTAGTATCCAGTATTAAGGCCATCATTTATGTTCTGATGCTTTTCAGGGTATGCTTTTAAATAAATTTTGAAATTCCGTACCTTGAGCTTAGATGTATCTTAGTAGTAAAGCATTTGTCTATGATACATGAGCCTCTGGTTTCCATTCTGCAAACAAAACAGACAAACAAAAAATCATATTTGTGAAAAATAGATTTGCAAAAACACATATATTTAAGAATAAAATTAATCTTCCATTCCCCATATTCACTTTTTTTTTTTTTTGAGACGGGTTCTCACTATGTAATTCAAGCTAGCTTTGAACTCACAAGGAAGTCCAGGCTGGTCTCAAACTCATGGTGATCCTCCTGCCTCAGCCTCCTGAGTGCCGGGATTACAGGTGTTCACAACCACACCGGCTCCTCATCACATTCTTTAAGTATGGATTTTAATAGGTTGCTTAATCATTTTGCAGGCCATCAGAGTTTAAAATGTCAAAGGGGACTGGGATAAGAAAGTAATTCAAGAAATTACTGTTATATATGATGAGAGACTGAAGATACAGACAATGACTGGATTATACTTGATGTGATCATAAAATATGGTGAGTACTTTAATCTTAAAAATTATTGCAGTAAAAATCACACTGCCATCAACACCCCTCAAAATAGTCCTTCTAACTTGAACTGCCCTCACTTTGTCTTTCTTGCCTCTTTCTGCTCTTTCTGGAGGTCTTTCTTGAGTATTTTTAGTTTGTGTGGCTGCCTCAATTTCCTGAACTGATTTTTACCTGATAACTTTTTTTTTTTATTCTGGGACTGGGGATCGAACTCAGGCCCTTGTGCTTATGAGGAAGGTGCATTGCCACTGAGCTAACTCCCTAGACCCTACGTGTTGACTTTTGATGGTCATTTTGACTGTGGAAGAGCCAGAAGCTGCACAGTACCAGATTGGGGGGATAACATGGATGAGGATGCACTGTAATGTTTTTGTGAGCCCCTTTTTCTATTGAGGGGCACTCGGCAGCAGCATTCACTGTATTTTTGGTCACATCTTATAAAGACACTCCGGAAAGAGGACTTCCAGAATGGCTTCAGAAAGTGGCAAGAACGATGGGACACATGTCTTTGAGGTGACAGAGAGTATTTTGAGGAGGATTAGATAATAAATTACCATGATTTCTAAACAATTTAAACACACATGCTATTTTTTGATCAACAGCTTGTATATATTTGACAACAGGACTCAGCCCAGGAAGCCAAACCACCACCTCTTCAGCGATTAGCCTAGAAGAACTGGATTTGCTCTGTCATTGCCAGCTTCCCTAATTTGTGCCCTTCTAACTCAGGACCAACCAGAGAAAGCCAAATATATTCTCAAATCAATCATATAAAATGCCCTGCTTCTACTTATCTCACCACTAGCATTTCCATGTCAATAGTCTTTAAATATGCCTGCCTGCCTGCCTGTTTCTCTGTTTCTCTCTCTCTCATCACTCTGTAGTCCAGGCTCGTTTGAGACCTCCTATGTATCATCTCAGGTGGCCTGGAAATTCAAATTCCCACCTCACTTCCCAAGCACTGGTATTGTAGATGTGTGACATCATGCCTGGCTTTTTTTTTTTTAAACTCTAAAGTCTCCCCTCTCCTCTGTCTTTGAGTTTCTGCAAATACAAGTGATTATGACTCTCCTTTCCTGTCCCAAGTTCTACAAAAGTAGCCTCTATTTGTTTCCATTCAGGTAGTCATCACTCATTTCCATAATGGCAAGAAAAAGTTCCTAAAAGGAGCAAACCTGACAGTGATAATAGAATAACTGCTTTGTCAGCTGTCTCAGAAACCCCATTGATCAAGTCGTTTGTTGAGCTGATATGGATTATGCCAGCACTAACATAGATTGTATATATCTTGGGCAGACATGTGTAAGAAGGAAATTACATGGCTGAAGCCTTAGGAGCTGAAAGTTCAAATCTTGAGGGCAAACTATTCACTTTAAACTTCTCAAAAGTTTCTTGGTTATGCGAAGAGTCCTCAGTACTGAAAACTATGCCAGAAAAACAATTACTAATAATAGTGTTTCATGCCAGTCTTATCAGAAAACAATTCTCAGTATCCCTAAAGCTTTGGGACATTTTTACAGCCATTGTAAAAATATTTGCATATAAAATCTAAAATTACTTGTCTAAGAATGCTCTCTCTCTCTCTCTCTCTCTCTCCCTCTTCTGTCCCTCTCTCCATTATATTCAATTTACTAATCTCAACCGCAAAGTTTTCACTAATAAAGTTGGCAAACAAAGCAGCTGAAAAACATCTTGCTCCAGGGAATGATACTCTAGTAAGTTTTACTGACGATAACATTTTCATTAGCACTGCTAATAAACTATGGTTATTCCTTTTGGGAGTTATGAGTTATTAAAAGAATTAAAACTTGAAAAAATACCCAAAGAATTATGCTCATCCATTTTGAATATGGCCACAGTGTGTGCAATAGAAAAATTAGTGAATATTCCCTAAAGTCATAGATGGCTTTTAAGCACTGCATAATTCTGGTAGTGCCATCAGGAGAGCAGTGTGCCATTGTTCATTAGAAGGATAATGTCATTATAATAGCCTTACTCAGCAGCATAAACCAGTTAAATGAAACACCAGAAAAAGAAAGGCAAAAGTTTGGTGAATCATTCTTGTTCTACTGTATATTGAGCTAGTAAGGAAGGCAGCTAGTGGTTTCATTTGAAGAATCTTCCAAGGAAATGTTGCGAGAGTATACAGTTCCTATAATTGTTCTCTAGGCTTCCTGATCTGTGTTCACAAAATTGTCTGTTTATGCAGCTTTGCAAGTCAATTGTGAACAAATCAGGAGACACTATTACAGCGATCCATGCACACCCATGTTTAGAGCAGCACAACTCATAAGAGCTAAATCTTGGAAGCAGCCTATATGTCCATCACCAGATGAATGGATAACAAAAATGTAGTACTTATAGTCATTTGTAAGGCAATGGATGCACCTTTAGACCATAATGTTAAGTGAAATAAACCAGACACATGAGCTTAAATATCACATAGTTTCTTTTGTATGGGAAACCCAAACTATAAATAAAGAGCAAAATAAGGTAGATAATAAGAAATAGGGAGATAGATCTTTTTCAAATGGGAAGGGGGACTAAGAGATGGAGGGAGGGAAAGTAAGGGGGTGAAAAAGGAATTAAGATATATTACATACATGTTCCGACTCCACACAAGGAATGTAATCACATAATAATAAAAAATTAAAATAAAAAACCCTCAAACCTAATATAGCATTTAGGAAGATCTCCTTGGGCCAGTGCTTTTGAATCCTTTCTTTCCACTATGACCTTATTTGGAAACTTGGGTGGGACTAGTACTGACCTGATCCAAAGAGCCAGGAAGTTCAGCTCAGGCGACTCTAATGGTCAGTCCATTCTCTCTTCTCCCTTCCTCCTTTTATTTCTCTCTTCTTTCCTTCCTTCTCTCTCCCTCTCTCCTCTCTCTCTCTCTCTCTCTCTCTCTCTCTCTCTCTCTCTCTCTCTCTCTCTCTCTCTCTTTCTTTCTTTCTTTCGTGATACCAGGGATTGAACTCAGGGATTTTATACTGAGCTATATCTCAGCATTTAAAAACTTTATTTATTTATTTATTTGTACCAGGGATAGAGCTCAGGACCTTGCACTTGTGAGGCAGGTGGTGGAACCACTGAGCTAAGTCCCCAGCCTATCCCAGCCATTTTAAAAATTATTATTGTCTGCTACTGCTTGGTAATAGTGAGGAAGACAATGGTTGCCTGACCAATGTCTGGGTAGATGCTAGGGTAGAGGAGTCTCAGCCGGCAGTGGCCAGAGAGGCATGGAAGAGCCTCACAGGCGATGGCCCAGCTGACTGAGTCAGATCCTGACCCTTAAACCAAAGCAGAGTGTGAAGAAAACTAAACTCCAGCTTACTGTATTTCAATACTGTGTCATAACAGTCAGATAATTTTCCACTTGTTCATCAAGATGGAAAACTCATCAGGAACAAGACAAGGATGCCCACTATCGCCACTTCTCTTCAATATAGTTCTGGAAACATTAGCCACAGCAATTAGACAAGAGAAAGAAATTAAAGCAATAAAGATAGGAAAGGAAGAAGTTAAACTCTCATTATTTGCTGATGATATGATACTCTACATTGAAGATCCAAAAAACTCCACCAAAAAACTTCTAGACTTAATTGACAGATTCAGTAAAGTATCTGGATACAAGGTGAATACCCAAAAATCAATAGCCTTTCTATACACAAATAACAGACAGACAGAAAGAGAAATAAGGGAAAAAATTCCTTTTACAATAGCATCCAAAAAAATGAAGTATCTAGGAATCAATCTAACAAAAGAAACAAAAGATCTCTACACTGAAAACTACAGCACTCTGAAAAAAGAAATCGAAGAGGATATAAAACAATGGAAAGATATCCCCTGCTCCTGGGTAGGAAGAATCAACATAGTGAAAATGGCCATACTACCGAAACTGCTATATACATTCAATGCAATGCCAATTGAAATTCCAACACTATATTTCACAGAACTAGAAAAAAGAATCCAAAAATTCATTTGGAACCACAAGAGACCTAGAATAGCAAAAGCCATTATAGGCAACAGTCACATGGCACCAGGTGTAACAATTCCCAATTTGAAACTATACTACAAAGCCACTGTGATAAAATCAGCATGGTACTGGCAAAGAAATAGGCCTGAGGATCAATGGAACAGACTGGAAGACACAAAAAGAAATGCAAATGTACTCAGCTACCTCATCTTTGACAAAGGAGCTCACCATCCTCAGTGGAGGAAAGATAGCCTCTTTAATAAATGGTGTTGGAAAAACTGGATATCAACCTGTCACAGATTAAAATTAGACCCTTATCTTTCGCCATGCACTAAATTAAAATCCAAATGGATTAAAGATCTAAATATTAAAACAGAAACATTAAACTTGCTGGAAAGTAAGTTAGGCAGAACTCTGGAAGACATTGGTATAGGAAAAGACTTTATGAACAAATCCTCAGTAGCACGGGAACTAGCAGAAAGAATCAACAACTGGGATCTCATCTTACTAAAAAGCTTCTGTACTTCAAAAGAAACCATTAGCAGAACTAAGAGACAATCTACAATGTGGGAAAAAATTTTTACCAGCTGTACCTCAGACAAAGGACTATTATCAAGGATATATAAAGAACTCAAAACAATCAGTCCCCCCAAATATAAAGACCCGATCCAAAAATGGGCATCCGAAATGAACAGACATTTCTCATACAAAGAAGTGAAAGCAGCAAGAAAATATATGAAAAAATGTTCCACATCACTGGTCATTCGAGAGATGCAGATGAAAACAACACTAAGATTCCACCTCACCCCACAAAGAATGGCTGCTATCAAGAAATCACACAATAACAAATGTTGGCGGGGTTGTGGGGAGAAAGGAACCCTCCTCCATTGTTGGTGGGAGTGCAGACTAGTGCAACCACTATGGAAATCAATATGGAGATACCTCAAAGAGCTTGGACTGGAGGTTCCATTTGACCCAGCCATCCCTCTGTTGGGTATCTTTCCAAGAGAACTGAAAGAATCATATCACAGAGAAGTATGTGCACCCATGTTTATAGCGGCACAGTTTGTAATAGCTAAATCTTGGAAACAACCTATTTGCCCATCCGTTGGAAACTGGATAAAGAAGTTGTGGTTTTTCTATAAAATGGAATATTACTCAGCCATAAAGAGCGAGAGAATAGATTCATTCATAGGAAAATGGATACATATTGAAGATATACTCCTAAGTGAAATAAATAAGTCCCACATGTGTAAATACCGAATAGTTTCCCTGGTGTGAATATTCTGCAACAATGCATAAGATTCTAATAAGATTACTGACATTTAGAAATGGGAGGAAAGGAGCTAAAGATGTAGGGAAGGTGTGATACGTAGGGGAAGAACAAAAAGGGAAAAGAAAAAAATGTGAGAGAATGAAAAGATGAAAATAAAGTGTTTGTAGATGGGGAGGGGAGGAGGGGGTGAAGGGAGGGCAGAGGTAAGGGGAAAAAAATGAGAATCAAGACTTGCCATGTAAAGGTACATGATCCCAACAATGAATGTAACTGTACTGTATCCCTAAATGTACCAATAAACTCAATAAAAAAAAAAAAAAGATGGAAAACTCCGATTCCAATGAAAAAGGAAGTGATGATCTGTCTTGAGCACAGCACGGAAGTCAGATGTACCAATTGGATTGGGAAGGAAATTTCCATCAATTTTTAGATACCACAAATGAAAGAGATTATAGACCTATGAAAGATAAGGATTTGCTAGGCATCCCAGGTGAAAGTACAGAGGAAGAGTTGCTGAGATTACAGAAAATTAATGAAGGTCCAGCACCACAGAACTCAGAGGGAAATCAAGCAGGTGGAGACTCATCAGATGATGCGTCTAATGGTGACTCCTTCATGGTCTAGCAAACTAGAAAGATGACACAATGTGCACAAAGAGGAAACCAATCTTGGAGAGCAGAGAGCCAGAATAATCCAAACAGTGGTGGTTTCAGATTCTGTTTAGATATAAACATTAACCATAATAATGGAAGTCAATACCCATAGAAAGAAAATGAGCCATCTCGAAGACGTTGTAGTGGAAAAATTACGGAGAACGACAGCCAAAGGCAAGTGGAAAATCTATCATCTGAATCGACACCTGCAAATCCAGCTAGGTCAAAATGAAATCCAACTGAAACATTAACTGGAGAAGTCCCACCTACTGGAGGTTAGAGGAGAGTAAGAGTCAGGAGTCCAGGCCACCGCAGAACCAGAGCCAGAGATAAAACAAGTAGGTTGCTTCCTCATCCCAAAGGTGAAAGTCCACCAAGATCTCATAAAAAACTGAGCACTCTTTAATAGGCAAGACTGAGCAAAATTCTAGGACTTGGCATATGTC